TTGACCTGATTATGAAAATCCTCATGGGCAATCTAGGGAGCAAGGAATTTAAAGCATCTACCACCCTCATAGGTATTATCTTTCTCTCTAACTTTAAGTCAAAGGTCATGATGATCAGACTTCAATAAAGGAATATTAATAAGAGAGCTAGAATAAAAGAAGAGACGCCAAGATTCATTAGCTACAACCTTATCTATCCTTTCTTTCAAGTTACCTTTCTGCCAAGTATAAGGGCTACCTTTAAACCCTATATCCTGGAGACCACAGACAATTAAGCACTTTGTAAAACCCTAAATTTGGATAAAGTTAGCAGGATTGCCACCCACTTTCTTTGTTTCAAATAGAATAGAGTTGAAATCCCCTGCAACACACTAAGTGATATCTATATTTGAGCTAAAATCCATTAGCTTATCCCAACAGTTCACTCTCTGCTTTTCATGAGGACTAACATAGGCAGAGGACAAGATCCAGTCCGCCTTGCCTTGACAACTAATTTTTAAATGAATGAAATGTCTAATTCTTTTAATAACAGTAGCCTTAATTTTCTTAGAGTTCTAGCAACACCAAATGCCACCAGAAAACCCAATAGAATCCACCTTTACTGATTCATCTAAGTTTATTTTTTTAATAACTCTATCAGCTTTCTCTAAATTGATCCTAGGTTCAAATAAAACTATGAAGTCTAATTTGTAAATATCAATTAATTCATTTATCAACCTCGAAAATGTCTTTCCTCCAACACCCCTATAATTCCAAAATAGACAGTTCATAAAAACCTAAACTAAAGGGTAAGAGCATCCTTAGGCTATTGAGTTAGGCTCTTATCATTATCTAATGATTGCATATCCACCAAATTGGTAGGACTCTCCTTGATTGGTGAGTTCTCCTCTTTAGTGAGTCTATTATAAGGAGGTTTATTAGGATAGGCACTGTCAAACATGTGTTGGGAATTTCAATGGAAGTCAGGATTAAGTCCAATTATGTTCTGGGCATAGGTACAATACTCACTATTATGCAGTAAACTTTTTTGAATTCTACTCATTAAGAGCAGGGTGTCTTGATTATCATGGCTATCTCTCTGTTGGTTAGTCAAATTATTACAAAAATTCCTCGAAATTTCTTTCTCAATAATATTCTCCTTATCCCTTTCTAACTTCCTAGGTTTAGGTGGCTGTTTATTCTTAGTCATTTTCTTATGAGAAATAACCCTAAATTCATTATTATTTTTCTATTCCAATTTAATAGGGGATACATTATGGGGACTCACTTTTTAGGAACCATAAGATACGGGAGCATGTTGTGATTCAGGGGGTGAACCTTGACTCATATCCTAGACAAAGTCACTTAAAATGTCAAAATGAGAACCTGATTGAATCTCTTTCCTTTTCCCATTATTAACAACATTATTGTTTGACTATACATGACATGGTTTCTTCCTAAAGTGTTTTTTTGCTAACATCCAAGGACCAAATTGGTCTATATCTTTAGCATTACTCCTAACCTGACTATCCTGATTTTGATTCCTATCTTCTTCTCTTGCATTTCAAACATTCCCTAGGTCCCTTCTATTTTAGAGTCACAACTCATCATCATATGATTATTTTCAGTAGTAATTTCAATACAGGTTTTTTGCCTATGCCCATAACTTCCACAATTAAAGCAAATTAAATGCAAACTTTCATATTCGACTTTAAATTCTTGGCCAAGAACCCTAAAAGATAGAATAAGAGTTTTCCTAAGATCTATCTCTATACATATTTGGGCAAATATAAATATACCTCATTTTATGATAAGTTTTTATAATTTTTTCTGTTAAGATTTAGTTTTTGAAATGTTAAGATGTTAGGATTTAGTTCTTGTCGCCAACATCACTATGACATTTTTTAATCTTTTAATATTTTATAATTTAAAACTAATATTTATAAATAAATTTTTAAATATATTTTAAATATTTATAGAAAAGTTCTTCTTTAACCTTTTCTTCTCTTTCAATTATTCTAAGCATTATGATCTTGATGAGGATAGTTTGAGAGGTGTTGCTTTGATGTACTTCTTGTTCACAGTGTATGCCATTGTGGTCATGATTTTAAATGTTGGTGTATTTGGAGTGTTGGCGAGTTACTAGAGCATGAGGTTTAGGGAGGTGATGAATATGTGTGAATACAACTTATTTGCCATTTTTTTGGTGAAATTATTTCACCACAACACCAATAAAAACAACATAAACATTGTGATTTTCAAGCTGTAATCAAAGAATGTCCTAACATGATTCTTAATTTTTAAACATAAACTTGGTGGATTTCTTATCTACACAAGAAGATCCAAAAGCCATTAAACCCCAAAATGTTCCATAGGCTTACGCTGATGGACAAAAACATAAAAGGAACACTTCAAATATCACAATTTATCGTATGCATAACCTAAAATTGCATATGCAACTTATGTCACTGCCACAGATGTGTGCTCTTCCTTAGCTGGAAATGAAGTGAAATGTAAATGATTTTTTAGCATTCAAGTTGTTGTCCAGGAGTAGGTGATGACAAATGCATGTCGGTCCTCTCTGTCACAATCGATGGATCTTCTAAAAAATATAATAGAACTCCAAGAAACCAATTCTCTTTCATACATTTCACCAAACATCTTTCGAGCATCATTTAAACAACACAATTTTCCAGACTTTCTAAGCATCAACTCATAGACTATACTCAACACCTTCACCTCAACCCTACCATAAACCCCTCTCATCTACAAATTCCCTTCTCATTGCCTTCATGTTGCACCTTATGTTGATTCTAAATTCGTTGCTTGCCCTTAAAAAAGCCGACATGGAAGCCAAGTTCAAACAAGTGTTTCTCAAAGAGAAGAAAAACCTTTAATACATGGGGTTATAATATTAGTATCTATGTGTTTGGTTAGTAGAGCAATTTAACTACTTTCCCTGATCCATTACAAAGAGATGAAGGATAAAGATTTGATCGCCCTCCATTTGTTCACCTACAACATCCTCATTATTGTTGCTTTGCAAGCATGACAAGGTGGGATTCAAGGAAGAGGAAGTACAAAAGAGAAAGGGGCTAGGTTTTAGAAATTTTTCTATAAATATTTAAAATATATTCAGGAACTTATTTATAAATATTAATTTTAAATAATAAAATATTAAATAAATTAAATAATGCAATGATGTGATAATAATGAGCTAGTTCAATACATAATAGAAGAGAGGTTGACAATAAAAATTAAATTTTAACATCTAACATTTTAGAGATTAAATTATAATAAAAGATTGTAAGAACTTATCATAAAATAGACTATATTCATAGAACCAACGTGTATTTAAATTTTTAATAATTAAGTTTTTATTTTTATAAATATTTATTGAAATTTTTTTCCAAACTATTCTTAATAAATTTTTCTATAATTTAAACATTTTTTGTTGATATTTAAACTTAGACAGGTTGAATTTAAAATAAAATAATAAATTAAAAAAATTAATTTGTACTAAAAATTTTAGTTTTTAAATTTATTAGAGACTGCTAACAGATACTGTCCCTATTGCTATTTGATATTCTTATGGGAATAAAATTATTTTGTAACTTTGTCAATTTTTATCCTACTGTTAACCAACGAAAAGATTGAAGCATGAAACTAACTTTATTACATTGGCCTTGTTGATTAAATATGCATGTGCACGTATAAAATCACATGAAAGCATAAAATTTAAGCTTTCTAATTTATATTTATTTATTAAACTTTTACTTTTTTTCTATCTTTTAAGATATAATATTATAGTTTTATGCTAATTTAAATATTATATAACTTAAATTTTTATATAATTTTATTTTTCTTGTAAAGAAAATTTGATTATGTTATTTCTCTTTTACCAGAATAAAATGATAAGCTCATCCTCGGGAACTAATATTTTTATTTTTTGGTAAACAGAACTTAAATTATTTATTTGGGTTATTTCTATCATTAGTCCAAAGTCAGAAAACACAACGCAGTGGGCCTATGCCCAATTTAAACAAAGGACAGTTTGACACTTAATGCAAACCCGCAAGATTGCACAGCCCAAAGGATATCTTGGACTTTAGAACCATTTGGCATTCAGTTCCCTATAAACCAATATCTGCCACCCATAACACAAATATTATCTCTTCTAATTAATTCTGGAAAATAGACAATTATTAACAAACTGAAGCTATTGATTATACTGTCATCAGATAAAAAATAATTTAATTGTGATCAATTATTGCCAACGGTTATTATACCTCTTTTATATTATTGTTCAAACATATATTAGCACATTTTTTAAAATATTAAAATTTTCACATACTTTTATTACAATAAATCCTCTTGATGATGTTTTGTGAAAAGTCTTTTTCTCTCAACTACGATAACTGTGTTGTGATTTTCTTGCAAATCATGAATATTTTAAATTTTAAATTGGACAGTATGTTTAGAGTTTTTCCACACCCTGGTCTAATATTCTGTCATCAATCACATGACCAGGGGCAATTGTAAGGGGCAGCTTGCTGAGGTAGAGAAACACTAGGAAAACTTACGGGCAACGTAATTTTATTCCTTACATGTCATAGATTGACTTTTACACTCACTCAGCTACAAAGTTGAAGACAATGACTTGATATAGAAGCAAAACAACATGCTTTTCATTTTCAATTTGTGGACGACACAACAAGAACCACACCATAAACGAAACTGGCGGGTGGTAACGCCTAAACATCCACCTCTGCCACCTAAACTACTCTGCCTTTTACAAATGCAAAGCAGAACACAATTCCTCACAACACAATTCAAATGGCTGGGACCATCTTAAAATAAGCCCCTTTCATTTGCTCCTAAAACTCACCAGCGACTCACTCCTATATGATATTTCTTGATTTTTCAGTTATATACCAACACTTGTAACAAATACAATAATTTTAGCTACTAAATTAAGCTCTCAATGACTAAGTGTAAAGGGTTTAATTTATATGTTTCTCTTAAAGGTATTGGTGGCCAGAGAAGGTTTGACCAAAGGACCAGCCCGCAGGTGCAACATTGTAAGAGACCACGGTGCGTCCATCACTAGTAGTAACCTTAAAGGACAGGCTTTGACCATTAAGGTAAGTATTGCTTTGCCAGTTCTGACCCCAGTTCCTTGACATTGGTTGCCAATTAGTTCTTGAACCTTTGATGGAAACTGCGTGAACATCACCAGCACCACCAACGTTGGTAATTAGAACTAGGTTGAAGTATGAATGGCCATTGATTGTGAATCTGATGCCCCCTCTCTTTTGGCAAGGGACCCTATGTTATCAAAGTAAGAGCAAAAGAGAGATTCAAATGTTAGGACACAAAAAGGTATCAAGATAAAAAGGGTGCGGTCACTTTGTCACTGGAACATAATCCTAGTCACAAAATCACTCGAACATGAACGTCACGACTGGAGAATATATTCAATATGTATATTCTACGTAAGTGAGTTTAAAACTTCTTCACTTATTTATCATTTAATATTTTTTATAAAGACTAATCACTCCGATTAATTTGAAAGCTTTTATTAAATAAATTAATTTTATAGAACTTTATATAAAAATAAAAGTATACTTCATTATATGTTATATTTTCACAGGTAATATATACTTTTAAAATATAAAAAATATTAAATTTTGAATAATATATTTATAAATGTTTAAATTACATGAAATTTGATAAACATAATTATAAAGATGATATAAAATATTTCAATTGTTAAATTTATTAATCTCATATTATATAAATAGTTATCAAGTGTGTAAGTATGCAAGTTTAATGTTGATGTTTAGGGATGTAAATCGTTCCATTTATCAAAATTCTTTCACAAAAGCGAACAAGAAAATGTACGTAAGAATTATAGAATAATATGCACTGCTGATTTTATTTATAACTGTATAATTTCTTGTGAACAATATTACACGGCAAGAAAATCCTTAAAACCCTTAATTGGAAAAAGGGAAAAGATTCCGGGACTATGCTTCAGAATCAGACACAGGTTTAGTGCTTAGACGTTTCAAAAACGACAATTACCAGATTTTGTTTTATTAGGCATCAGATGAGTCGAGCAGTGCAGACATTTAGAAAAATTCCAAAAAACATTGTCAACCAGAGTATGTCGAGATGTCTCAAAGTTGAGTATTTTAGAAGAAAAGGAAATATTTAATTTAATTATTTTAAAATAAAATAATAAATGAATACGAATTTAAAATGTTAATTTATTATTATTATTATTTAATTTAAATAAAATAAAATATTTAGCTTCCCATTTTTTCTAAAAAACTTAATTTTGAACATAATTTAAGATAAAAAGGAAAATCAATTACCTTCGGTAAGCCACGGGTACTATTCCAGCTCTGTATTGAGCTATTTGTTGGAAGACAGGTTGGGAAAGATCAAAATGGTGAAGGGGAGGGTTGCACCATCCACCTGCATTATTTGGGAGTGCATTGTTTGGTGGACAGAAATTGGTTGCAGTGACCACAATTGAACTTGGAAGGCACCACCTTTTGTCATTAACACACTTAATCTCAAAACATGCCCCACAGCTTAACCCATTGTTGAACAAAGCTGTGCTCAAAGCAGCAGTGTTTGTACCATACCCTTGGCTATACAAGTTCCCATATCCACATGCTCCACCTGCAACAAAGCATGGTTAAGAAATTAATAAAATACATTGTTTATATTTTCTTATAAAATTATTCATTTTTAATTCCTAATGACATATGTTAACATTTTCTAAATATAACCTTTTTGTATTTAGAAAATGTCATCAAAATGATACGAAAATCAAAGTGTGAATAAATCTTGCAACAATTATGGGCAGTGTAAGTGGCATATGCTATTACGAAGTGTTACTAACCCATAGTGCCAGAGGCGTCACCCCCTCCATAAAAGGTTGCATGAGCATTAATCCAACCATAACCAGCCGCAGAGACATATGAGCCAAGCGAGAGAAATCCCACAAAGAGAAGCCCCAAAAGCGCCATTTTTCCCAGTCTTCTCAGATATCTTAGTGATGAAAAGAGTAATACCTTAGTAGAGATAGAGAAAGAAAAGAGAGAGTAGTATGAGTTGTGAGGAAAAGCAGAGGAGCATAGGTTGAGAATAAATACAAGTTGTGAGGGAGCAAAGAGGGTTCTTGCTTAACCAACGTCATGCCAACTAACTGACACAGTTGTGAGGTGTGGGGACCCAAAACCGCCAAGTGCAGCTATTTCATTTTTTTAAGCAGGGACAAGGTACTATTCCTCAAACCACGTGGTTTTAAATTCCTTTTGCGTGTGTTTTGGTATTTGCTACCAAAACCATGTCTCAAAATTCAAATAATTAGGCTATGCTGAATTGCTGGTGTCTAAGTAAAAACCGTCGTTGCAACTAGTAAGCAACGAGCCAAAGTCAGTTTCCTTTGAATCAGTTTCCAATTTACAAATAGCAAATTACTCAGCATCAACTACATAGTTCTGTTTTCGCATTAACTGAATTTGGTCAATTTCTCACCTCTGTGAGTGAACATAGACTATATTTTCTGAAACATTGTAGATTGAATGTGAATGAACCCTATGAACCTAAAATGGACAACCATACACGGAAGTCAGTGTATATATTTGGCATATATAAAATAACAGATTGTATAATTTCCAAGATAAATAATCAAACAAAAGATTCTTAACCAACGGTTTAAAGTTAAATTACTAGAACCGAGAAAACGGACATCACTTTTTCATATTCGAGGCAAAGATATTTTACTTCACGCCAACCCAAAGTGCTCTTAAAATAGAATTTATTAATGCATGAGTGTTGATGTTTTACGTAATCCGAATTATATTATCTAATTGTTATTGTCACCTATTCCCATAGAGTTTTACCAGAAGCTAGGACACCAAGTCAGCATAGCAAATTTAACTGTGCTGTAAACTAATACTAATTAAAGCACCCATTAATATTCTCACCAAACATTGCTCCGTCCACAACCACAAGCATATTCAAAGTTTAAAGCCAATTAATGGGTTTTGCAGTTTTACTTTCACATTGTGTCGCGAGCTTGAATTTCAGTCATGTTTTATTATGGAAAGGAAAATGCTAATTAGTACCCTAAACAATTTTTAAAAAATATCGTAAAGCATAATTATTCTGATGATTTTTAATGTATTAATGTGTCATTTTTATTAAAAAATAATATTAATTCTTTAACAAGTACCCTTATAAAAATCTTTTATTAAAATGCGGAAAAATCACAACAATCACTTCAGAACTCAATCAATGTTGTTCACTGAGTTTTACGACTTCCATGAAACCATTCCACGCTTTCAGACATATAAAATTAAATGAAAGGGACGAGGAGAAGTCTCATAGGGCGACGCAGCACGTGGGTGATGCAGTGAGTGATAATCTTGTTCGGTCATGCCGTGAAGTTACGTTCGGAAAAAGAAAATAAAAATACATACCCTACTCATTTATTACTCATATTTCATTCATCCTAGTTGGACATTGGTTCTATAAATGCTGAATTCACTCCATGCAAGGGGTTAAAGTTGCAGCATGTCATGTCAAAAATATTCTTAATTAATTATAATTGAATAAATCAATATTATTTATTATTTGTTATTCCTAAAAGAGAGCGACACTCAATAAAAAAGAATTTAAAATGCAAAAGCAATTCCTTAGCATGTGACTGGTATTTTCTTGTTATATTGTATACGTATCCTACTTTCCACTTTCGCCTTTTTAGCTTCCCATTGAAAACTTTATTTGATCTTTTTGGTATTCTCTTCTGATGAGTTCATCAGTACCGCTGTGTTTCCGGCCACTCTTGTTTGTTATGTCTCATTCAATTTATCGATACCGAACAATATTAGTATACAATTTTTCCGTCAATAGCTTGGTCGCTAATCTTCTTAGGTGTAAAGGTATAAAAGGTAACATAGTTTGAAAATATTAAAATAAATGTTAATGAGATAAAGTATGTTACTTATACATTACACATATAATTTGAAAATTATTTTTTTATGACTAAAAAGAGTTGTTCACAAAAGGCTCAGGAACTTCCGCGAGAGAGTTAGAATGAAAATAATCGTATCTTCTGGTTCAATGTGAGAGACCAAAGAATAAAATTTTCCTCGTTGATGGTAGGAGCTAGAATTACTAATCCTGGTGCTAGGTTTGGGGAAAATTAATAGATACATAATGATAATCATATTAAGATATTCTATAAGGATTGTGGGAGTGTCATTTTACACTAATGTATGTTGGACTTAGGAGGTAAATAATTTCATCATAGACGAATTAATACAAGTAAACATTATACTGAAAATTATATATTTCTTGTAGACAAAATCTTAATCTACTTAAGATGAGTTTATTTACTTTATGAGATAATTTATACAAATATAAATTAACATTTGAATGAGTTCTACTCAGACGATAAGCAAATAGTTAAATTTGTCGCTCAATAATTTAATTTGTTTAGATAATTAATTCATAGGTAGAGCTTCAATTTAGAATATAGTTTAAAGATTCAATTTTGCCGCCTTGATCTCCCAAAAAAGTTGAATTGAATAATAGAAAAGTAAATTCGTTATATTAACTTTAAATTCGAGAACCATTATGTGGAACGATGTGTTACTATATATATAATTATTCATGTGTTTTATTTAATAACTTAATTAAACTTTTGAGATGATATAGACTGAGAGCAATAGAACCGTGAAAGAGTTTCCGAATTAATTCCAATAGCCGAATGAGATAGCATAAGATCCTTTTTCTATTGATTTTCCTTAGCACTAAGGTAGGGGATGGTAATGGTATAAGGTGGAAGGGTAAGAAAAAGAACGTAACTGAGCGTGACGTGAGTGAGGGAAGGGGTAGTAGAAAAGGTGTGAGGTAGCTAACGAGAGAAACAGGAACACATAGTGACGTTTATGAACGTGTTGGGCTATACTATAGAGGTAGAAAGGAAGTTAAAGGTGGTGGGTATATGGGGAGTGCACGTAGCAGCACATGCACTTGGGTCTCTCTCCTTTGTACGTATCAGATTCAGATACATGGTGTGGTTGCATGCTAGCTGTTCGCCAAAAGCCTGGATTACAAAACAAAAGAAGATGTTGATATTTCTGAGTACTTCCAAATAATAAAAACAAGGTCCACACCAAAATTGGAGATGCGGGGTATCGATCCCCGTACCTCTCGCATGCTAAGCGAGCGCTCTACCATCTGAGCTACATCCCCAACTCTTGATTAGAAGCTTTTCAAATTTATTTTAATATATTATCTGTTTATCACTTTAATTGCATGCATATTATTAGTGATAAACAAATACGTAACAATAATATATTCTTTTATTTTTTGTCCAAAATTGAAGGTATAGTTAATTCAGTATTTTAAATGAAGAGTGTCTATTATCGCTCTAATATAAATAATTTTTTATTAAAAAACTAGCTTTTTATTGTTATTCAAATTAATAAAGAAATCATGTAATATTTAATTAAGTAAAAGGATAATAAACATATTAAAATTTGTTTCTATTTAACATATACTTTATGATTATAAATAAATCCATGTATTTTTCTTTATTTTAACCACTCACTATTTGATCATTAATTTTTCTATCATTTTTAGAATTGATTTCAAATATTAAAACTTATGATATTATGTCAATTCCAAATTTTAACTTTTAAAGCATAAAAAATCTATTGTTTCTTATTAAAATTGGAATTGATATAAATAAATATTCTAATTACTAAAGATTCAAATGTTCTTTAAATATTGTACTATAATTGTACAAAAGGCTCATATTCTTGTACCAAAAGACGAAGCACATATCTTGGACTTTGAATCAGTGAATAATATGCATTAGGCATATTTGGACCAAAGTTCTATCAAGATTTGGGCTAAGTTTCTCCGACAATTGTGATATATAGAGAGTAACAAAATAGAAAGAAAGAGAGAGCCCACCAAAAATACACATGAGAGAGAGAGAGGAATAAGAGCAAAGTTTGTTGCTAATAAAGGGTCCACGATTTCATGGATCTGTGTTTGATAACATGGCCATTGCCCATTGCCCATTGCCCAGCTCCTAATGGGATACAGATATTCCCATATCAGTTATGGGCTTTAAAAAATTATTCCTTGGTACTTTATATTCTTAGGAATGTAATATTGCTTTATTTTACTCTTGCTAAGCGCTGGGAAACTTGTATTACCTTGAAACTTAGCCCATGAATGACACTTTCATTTGAATTTTAAAAATTATTTGAGAAATTTCATAGTTTTTTTTTTTTTGTAGTTTGCTAAACTTGCACTTGACAAAAAAAAAAAGATTATAATTTGTCCATGCACAAATCCTAACTATGCTAAATGAAAGGAGATTTTTTTGTTTGACATTCGGGTTGGTATGCTAATAGGTATTAAACCCTCGTTTTGGATCTTATAAGTTATATTTTTTCTCTCTTCTTTTTCCCAGTTTCTGTAGTTCTAGTCTTCTCTAGTGAAAAATCAGGATATGGCTCATGTTGGGAGCAAAATTTGCTTGTTCCTTTAACATCCTAGCTATTTCTTTTTGCCTGTACCTGGTGATGGGTCAAAATACATTGAGTCGTTTCTATGATATAGAAGCACAACTTTTCCTAAGGGCTTTGATTGAACAATAGAGTTTTGTAGAATTAAACTTACATTGCATTTTAGCGTCCTCTCTAGACGTATTAAATGAATAAATTCTAACTAATTTAGCCTTAATTTATGTGTGCTAAAGTTAAAAAGTTTATTTTGTAAAAAATTCATAGGACCAAAAACTTATTAAATTAAGTGGGCTAGGGTCATATATTTAATAAATATTTTTAAAGTCAGAATAGAAACATAAAAATTAACAATAAAAAGCAATGTTAACAAAATTTATTAAATTATCTGTTATCAAAATATTTAAAATGATTTATTTAAATGAAATTTTATTTATTAAAAAAATATAACACGATCATCATAAAAATTGTAGATATGT